GATTACTCTTCGCAAATAGTTAAGGATGTGGGCTGTTCTAGTTTTAGGGAAATGCGAAGTTTAGCTCAGGATAGGAAAGAGTGGAGGTACGTGTCCAACCAGTCTTAGGACTGATGACCTTATGATGATGATGATGGGGAGGTTTATTTATCCCTATCCACTTTTTATTTGCTCAATTACTGATTGTTCTGATGTGTATCCTGACGAATTGTAATCCAAATAATGTTAAACCACGCACTACCAAACATTCTTTGAGTTTATAAATGTCATTAGTAGATTCGTCACGAGTCAGAAACTGTTTGATTACACCGCGTACCTCAATTTCTCTTTTTTCCAGTGGGCTTGTGAGTTCAGGTACAATTCAAACTCAAAGTTAAGTATCACTTATCATTTGCATACATACATATATTCATATTCATATATTATTTGTTACAGTAAATGCTTAATAGTACTGCAATTGTTATTAATGGCCACGCTAATTATTATTGTTTTCCACAACGAAACGTTACAACTATTTGTTCATCTAGCCACATTTGTTATTATCTCCTAATTGGGTAGAAAGTTATAAACAGGCTTTAAATGATTCTTACCGTTACATCTAATTGTTTTAAAGTTATTATTAACAACAATTACAGCAGTAAGTAGACGTATACATGTCTGATTCAGCGTAGAAACGGAAATTGTAGAAATAGTGTAATGTGCGCTCTTCTATTTATATCGCAATTTATTACTTTTTGTTCGCTGAATAATTAATTGTTTATTTCGCTCCAATTTCTCTTATTTTTATTAGAAATTGTAACGGCGGGAAGTGTTTCACTTTTAGTTCTACTATTTGCGGTGTAGTACACCACATTATTTTTATCAAAAGCACCGATTAAAAAAAATAGTCTTTAAACAGTGTTATCAATTTAATGATTTTTAATAATATAGGGACATAAAATCAAAGTCACTAGCTTTGTTGTTTATCTGAATAACAATTGTTTTGCCAAACATTGGTTTCTTTAGTTAGGTAACGGAAATTTGGGAGTTAAAATTACATTGAGGGTGCAAAACGTATTAGATGATGGACGCGACGAAATAGAAAAAGTTAGAAGCCTTGAAGATCTGATGTTTATTATCTTATGGCAGATGATGGAAAAACGAACAGACAGACACATGAGTGATCCTATAGGGATTCCGTTTTTTAGTCAGACGTACGGAACCCTAACTCGAGAACCAACTAAACACTGTAGTTGAGAAAAAATTTCATCTACTTTCTTAGATAACTTTAAAACTATTTATTGTACGAGGGTGGATTGATAAGTTTCCGGCCTAACCAAGAGATGACGCCACTAGGCCTACCTTGAGGTGACATTCTATAGTACCATCCTTGGATAGNTAATGATTCGCTAACTACAAGTTTTCCTACGTAAAGCATTAAAAAAAAATACATACAACAGTAGGGTCGATTCTCGTTTGTTATCAGGTCGTTAGCCGGTCGCGTTTTAGGGGTTACTGAGGCACCCTATATTGCTAGGCGAACGCTACGAACAAAATACGTCACTTATCTAATTTCCTTCCGCTTTTCCGCGTCCAATCAATAAAATACCACATCCACGGCCAACTCGATTCAACCAAACACAACAACAAGAGAATATAAAAATTGTTTTGAGTGCACGTTCGCTTACCATGCTCCTGGTTCTGGGCGATTGATGCGGCGTGCTGGTCTCCCTGTTGGGGGGGCCCGACGGGCCCCCCGTCGGTCGGGACTCCGTCGTGACGGCGGCTGACGGCGTCGTCGACGCAACTGACGACGCCGCTCTCACTCTACCATAACTGCCACCAAAGCTCCGTCGTGACACTTTCTCGCCCCTTTCAATGAACGACGTCCCGCGTCGAAGCGCCACCGACGCCGAACTGGACTGACGCGAGGCAGTTTTTCCGGGCAGAGTCCTGTCGACGCGCTTTTCCAGGTGACTGTAATCGGAAACGGAAAATGTCGACTGTGAAATGCGGAAATCGGGCAAAAGCTTTTGCAATTTTCATTGCTAATATCAGGGATTAACTTAGTTCAAATTAAAGCGGAAAGGGAGGCAACATTCAATTGACGGTTTTGCTTACAAGAATGCAACATTTTACTGTTAATATAATGGAAAAAATACACAAATTCAAATATGAGAATAAAACTGACTACTAAGTATGTTCGTGAGAATAAATCGCACTGAATAATCTTCTTGTTTAATTTATCATTGTTGTACGACTTTTGATAGGTTTTTGCTATTTAAGATATAATTTCGTAGTCACATCAACACGATCCCAGATTTAAAGCAGTAATTACTATTTACCTTGTCGCGTAAGTCCAGCGACATCTGCAATCGAAATTAGTATAATACTTAGGCGCTCAGGGTACTAAAGAAATAACTTTTACTGATATTATCTGCGTAGTACGTAGTAGTAATTTAACTTAAACTTTAATATTAATATAGAAGTTTAATCTAAAAATTTAGTAATGATCTATTTTAATTGTAATAATAATATAAATATACCAAATTGGTACGGATTGACTACCAAGTTTTCACTTGAAAGGGATAAGTATATTCCACTATTTATTGAAATAATGAAAACAATAGATCTTAAAATTTCCTACTAATTTCCAGTTTGTTATGTTATATTACAGAGCCTTCAGCTACCTTATTGCATAACAATATATTTTTCGTGTATGGAACACAAAAAATTAATTAGTTGGTGATGAAAAAGTAAAAATCCTGCTTGCGTGTTCCTAATATAGTTGATTAGGTATATATTGGATACAAGGGCCTAACGCAATTCTAAGGCATTAAAATTTATTAAGTACGCTTCTTTACTGAAGTGAACAACATACATTATGACCTCTAAGGTTTGTTGAGCTTTTACAAAATTCTATTTAATTAAATTATCCTATAGACAAGTGCTACACCATCAATTCCTGATTCCTTCAAACGGAAGCGCATGTTATTGATATTCCTACCTAGCTTATTTTTCAATTTAAAAAATAATCTACGAAATACTCGCAAATTATCTTTTATTTACAATTTGAAATTTCACCACATCGTTATGAACAAACCCACTCAAATATTTAAAAAAAAATAACTGATTGCTCCAAAGCAACTTAAGATACAAGGATGGGATTTTAAGTAAAATTTGCAATTATCATACAGGAATTTCTTTAAGTCAAAATATATCAAGGACTGTGAGAGTCTGTCATGGTTATTTATATTATTTTTCAGTTATGTATGACAGGATTTAAAACAGGAATATCCCATATCCTTAATTGTTTGTGAACAGTAATCTAATCTAGGTCTAC